CAAGAACCTCAGTGCCCCTGGGGTGTGTGTGTGGTGGGTTGAGGCCATAGGGCGCAAAGTCGATACGGGCTAAAGAGATGCCAAGAGTGTTGAGTCCCGGTAATTGGTTGACATTCACAGGTGTGACTTTTGATCCAAGGGGATTTGATGTATTCCCAGGCATATTCAGACCCGGAAAGAAGAAATCATTGGCGCTAACCATGTTTGGATCCTTGCAAATCTTACCATTCACAAAAACTGCAAGAAAAACAGAAGGCATTGCTCAGCCTTATATATACACACACATACACATTGCCAACATAATTTTGTACATATATGTACTGAGAATTGTCATGAATATCACAAAGAAACTGCCTTGCAAGTCTGTATAGTAGGAGAGAGTATTCTATAGTTGAGTAGTTAGCTTATTTCACACAAGGATAAGATCGTTATTATAGGAATGTCGAACGCATTTACCTTTTGCTTCATCATCCTTGACAGCAACACAGAAATCCTGTAGTGGGGAAGGATCAGATGCATAGGTAAATGAAACCAATGAGATAATAAGAATGGCAAATAGTAAGCGAACATCCATTTTCAGTGCAACTGATATTTTGATTATGTTGTAGTTTGTAGATGTTTATTTTGCTAGAGAGGACTGCCTATTTATAGTAGCGATTTCTTTCTGAATTAGTCATCAACTTATCTTTTCAACACATAATTTTGCCAAGTCTTGGAAACATAATTAAATATATATATTTTCAAGAGCAACAACTGACATTGTCAAATTTTCTTTCTTCTGGAAGTGTGCTCATTTTAGTATTAATCCTTGACTGAATCGTGATTAACTAACCACTCTGAAAATTCATAATGATTTTTCACTAGACAATAAAATGCAAATCGGAAAATATGATTTCCATAATACCCATTGCACCATACGTTGATAGTATGTTTCCCACGATGGATTAAATTAAGGAAATTATTAATAATTCATTATTTGGCTGCGTAACGAAAGTTGTCCACAATGATGTTCGATATTGGACTATGTACGGACCGCAAATGATGAAAGCTATGCACTATTGGATTGATCGCTACATGTCAATGTGGAAATGGCAGTTTTATATATCTCACTTGTAGTATACTATAATCTGGCCTTGTGATCAAGTATGGCAAGCTTAAGAAATTTTTTAACCCTAGAAAATGTTATTAACATTTTACTTTGAATAATGTTCCATTTTTTGGATCGTGTAAATATTAATTGAGAAAGTGCAGACAAAATTTCACATACGCACGTGGCGTAAATAATGAATTTATAACATAATTGCACTAATCTTGCCTCTAGGCTATGGAACCCTAATTTTCTACATAATACAACTGGAAATTTGAAATAATAATTAAAATGCATTTAGACTCAATCAGTTGACTTTTTGACGAATTCTAAAAGATGCAAATATATTCAGTTAGTTTTTTTCTTTCTGAATGAGTCATCAACTTACCTTTTCAACACATAATTTTGCCAAGTCTTGGAAACATAATTAAATGTATATTTTCAAGAGCAACAACTGACATTGTCAAATTTTCTTTCTTCTGGAAGTGTGCTCATTTTTAGTATTAATCCTTGACTGAATCGTGATTAACTAACCGCTCTGAAAATTCATAATGAGCAGGTTGAATTAAACTCAAAGTTGTTAATCTGTCATTCTCAGTACTCACTAGGAAAAATTTTCACTAGAGAAAATAATATGCATATGGGAAAATAAGGGCCAAACACAGAAGACCTGGCAAGATCAAATTGTGAACTATAAAATATTTTACATTAAAAATGGATCTCTCATATAATTATTATTATTCGTATATTATATGTGGATTTTTAAATAAATTAATAACAATTTTTTAGAAATGTAGCTAGACGTCACGAAGCTTGATATGTCATTTGTCATTTTGGACTTGGTCGGTTGGTCCAGTCTCCTTTACTTATAGTAAGCACATTAGTACTTTTCTAAGGGAGAGTGACACGTTAACAACTTCATTTGACATCATATTCAAATCCCTGCGCAGGGTTTGAACATCTGTATTGTCTTCAGAGTCTCTGGCTTGCGTCACACATATATGAATTTGATGCAATTAATATTATGTCATATATCAAAATAGGATAGCATAAACGAACATGTGTAATGTATTATGTATGAGAGAGATTAATGCATCAAACTAAAGCAAAAAATGAGGCATTAGTCAGAATAAAATTTTAGTAACATTCTGTTGAGGTTAGTGTGGAGGAATAAACACTTGCGTATTTGAAACATATGGATGGTCGGCATTCGAAGAAAATAGCTTAACTTTTGCATGCAGTGTCCATTTTGGGCCCATAATCCCATTTCGGAAAGATTGCGACAATTCCCATTGAACTCAAGGTTTCGCCGTGATGTATGAGGGATTTTGGACATTTGAATTCTTTTTCTAAGTCAAAACGGCACTTAATGTTTCGTAGTTCATTATTTTCAGTATTTATTTATTTTGCTTTGTAGCCCAACCCATTAAGGGACTGCTGGCTAGTAGATTATCTGTTCTTTTAGTATTTAAGACTCTAAAACGTCTTGTAGAGTTTTTGTCCGTTCATAAAAGAAGAAAAGCGTTTGTGTTTGTAGATTCGATCTACATCACATTCCCAGCGTTAAAAACTTTCTGAGGTTTGCCATACTTGATCACAAGGCAAGATAAAAGTAAGAAGCAAGTGAGATATTTAAAAATACCCATTTCTACCTGGAAAAATTGGATAGACAGTATTAACGGTTGACGACGACTATTCCTTCTTGAAATTGTTAGACATTCAAGACGTAGAGCCAAAATACAACGGAAGCAGTAAAACTCACAAACACAAAGAACACCCAAAGTTTATTAACATCAAGACATTGATTATCACAGAGAGCTCAGAACAAACATTGTACCCTTCTACAAAAGAAATATTTACAAAGACCTAAAATCCTAAAGAATTGAACACATCAGCTACTTGATGGAAATAAGATCAAACAACCGATCTAACAACTCAGAACCTTCAATCCAAGACTCCCTAAGAACCTAATCACAAAAAAATTAAGAAAAAAATCACGAGTTTTGATCCATACACAAAGTATCAAAAAGAGAGGGATTGAAGAGACGAAGAACTAAAAACCCAGAAGCTTTGCGCAGCAAGGCACAATGAAAAAAATCAACCAAACGTGACTTTTCAAACCCTTTAAATACACCAATCCATCACCATCGATTCAGCTGAAGATCAATGGTCCAGAGCAGCACACATGTCCACCTTATTGGGTCAAGTATCGGGCCCGTTTCAATTGTGTTATCGGGCAATGGCTAAAAACTAATTCCAACAAATGGGCTTAGCCTAGTTTCATCATTGCCCAATGAACCGGATGGGTCAATCAAATAAATGACATCGTAGCCCTTCAAATCTCCCCCTTGATCATTAGTTTCGCCATCATCCACAGGAATGACAATGGATATACCGAGAAATAAATCCGCCGGAAGCCACTAAGAATTTCGCCGGAGATATGAACTTCTCCCACTTGGTTACCTCTCTATGCTTACTCTCTTTTTGTTATGTCAAGTCCAAAATACTAGTGTGAAGTAGTCTTGTAATTATAGAGCCAAATAACCATTTGAATTCAAATTCAAATATTGTATTATGAAAGAGACATGACTATAATGTGTAATTGACCACAAGATGAAATCCAACATTAGATATAATCTATGGTCCATATTACATATCAACTAGCACAATCCTTTTATAGTGCTCAAGACAAATACTTATGTGCCAAGTGGATTAAGTTGATCCACCTCACAGTTTTACTTTACGGTGTAACCTCAATTACATAATAAAACTAGAAATCTCAAAATAATAATAATAATAATAATAATAATAATAATAATAATAATAATAATAATAATAATAATAATTAATTTCGTTTTATCACGATCCTTTTGACTTACAATATTGTAAATTACCTTCTGAAGACTTCTAAGATGCAAATATATTAATTTACGTGGAATTAGATAACTAAATAGATATTAGCTGTTGAAGAACATTTCTTCTTCATAACACAGAAGACTTGGCTAGATTAATATGTGTAATATACTAATATCATTGGACCTCTTCAAGATAATTTAGTTTTCGACGTGTATAAATCAAATAATTACGTAACCAAATGATAAAATCTTTTCCATATATTACACAAGGTAGATGGAGAAATAGAAAACAAACTAAAATCAATGGATAAGATCGATGTCACATCCTACTTCCTTGGTTCAGCTTCCAAAAAATTAATTAATCTTCATTTCCCATTTGCCACATTACTATAAAATATCCTTATTCATTTGTAGAAGAGAAAAGTCGACAGACAAATTCAAATGAAGCTGTTGACAACTTACATTAGCTAGCAAACTAATGAATTATCAATAATTAATTTCCATAGTTAAAACACGCTATCTACGTATAAGATAAGACACATCATCCATTTCCAGTTTGTGCATAGTGCAATGGGTATATGTAAATTATAGGAAGTGCCTCCAAGTCTCTCCTCAGAGATTGGATATGAACATTTTGACTTTGTTCACACCTTTGTAAGGGTCCGTTAGATTGCAAGGGTGAAAAATGGGTGAAAAGAAAATGAATTTTAGATAATTGAATTGCTTAGAAATTGTTTTACTTGGAATTGTAATTAATTGTATTTGATTGATATAATTTTCCATCTGGTCCGTTTGGCTTCGTTTTTATGAAAATTGTCAATTAAAGAGATAATTTTTTTACAATTGAGGATAAAATTTGTTTAGATTGCTAAAAAAATTAAAAAATAAAAATTGAAAAAAAAATTGGTGTTCGTTTAGCTTTGTTTTACATGAAAATTGTCAATTTAAGGGATAATCGTTTTTTACAAATGTGGATATATTTTGTATCCATTGCAAAAAAAATAAACATGGAAACCATTTTCCCACCTAAATGGTGGAAAAAAGAATTCAAGGAAAAGCTAGAAAGTGTCATCGTATGAGAGAAAGTGGCAATTCCAATTGCCAAGAAAAACATGCTATCAAATACCAAAAAAAACATGGAAAATGGAAAGGTTTTCCATGGAAAATCAACCATATCAAACACACCTTTTTTAAGAATTTTCCATGCTTGCCCTGCGGTAGTAGCATTCGATATCCTTTGAAAATTTATACCATCAAGTGCTCAATGAATCATGCTAAGAGCCTTTTGATCCTTCTTCTCAGGGTCTATTCAATCTAGCTTTCAAAGATTTTTGTAGATTTGAATATTATGTCGAACTAAGGTTTTACTCTTTCATTCTCGCCCCTTACATAATTTCTAATGTGTTTATTATACGTAAAGGAGATATTTTGTAAGGGCATTTGTACCCATGCGTGGAAAAAGTCCAAATAGGCAAATGATATATTAAGGCATCATGATGTGCCTAACTAAATCTCTTTAAATTATTTCATTTAAAATCCATAAACATGAATAATTTTAGTTTTGCGAGCTCTTCCAGTCGTTTCTATCAATTCATCAACTTGTTAAATTAATTGAAAGGGATTTGAAGAGTT